GAGGCGGTCCTGTTGGGGGTACTACTGGTGCTACTGGAGGTACTGGAGCTGGAGGTGCTGCTGGCGCTGGTGCTACCACTGGGAGTACTGGTGCTGTCCCTGCTGTGTCTAGAGTCGCTGCGCGGCCTCGACCGTACTTCGTTCCGCTCCTTGAGCAGGTTCTTGGTCTCCCGCCTTCTACTGGTCCTCCTCCTCCCTTAGAGTGTCCACAGCCTGTCCCGTCACAGTTACAATTACAGCCGGCCTCCCCACTGCCTGCTCCTTCTCCCTACACTTGTCCTACTAGAGGTCTTGCTGAGCGTCATGAGCCTGCGTCTCGCCCTACGTCGCCTGTCCGTGCTGCTTGCACTAGTGGTCGTGGTTTGCGTCAGCGTCCTCCTCCTGTCCCTGGCACGCACCGGATGTCTCTGCGTCCGTCCACTGCTCCTCTGCGTGCCCCTTTGCCTTCTCCTCCTGAGTCCTCTCTTCCTGCTCTTCCCGACCCAGAGTCGGACTCTCTTCGTGCTGCCAGTCCTACTGTCACGCGTCTCCTTGCTACTGTTGTCACTGGCCCTTCTTTTGAGTCCACTGCTGCGTCTGCCCTAGTTGCTGAGCTCGTGGAATTTGCTGCTCGCTGTCGTCTAGACTACGCTGCTAGTCTTGTTGCTGAGTCTGAGTCTGTCTGTCCTCCGTCCGTCGGGGGTGAGTGTGCCCTTGGCACGGACGTCCTTGAGGACAGGCAGGATGAGTACCAGTGTTTGGATGCTGCTTCACCTCATCTCGTGTCCGTACTGCTTACCCCTGAGGGAGACCCGGATGCACTTGACATCCCGACTCCGCGCTCTTACGCGGAGGCGATAGAGGGTCCCTACTCCTCTCAGTGGCAGGCAGCTATGGACGCAGAGATGGCTTCCTGGAAATCCACAGGCACCTACGCTGACGACGTTCCCCCTCTTGGGACGAACATCGTCAGTGGCATGTGGATTTTCAGGGTGAAGCATCCGCCGGGTTCTCCGCCTGTCTTCAATGCGCGTTACGTGGCTCGTGGCTTCAGTCAGCGGCAGGGAGTTGACTACTTTCAGACCTTCTCTCCCACCCCGAAGATGACCACTCTTTGGGTACTGCTGCACATAGCTCCTCACCGTGACTACGAGCTGCACTCTCTTGACTTCAGCACTGCTTTCTTGCAGTATAGCCTGCACGAGGAGATCCGGCTGCGTCCCCCACCTGGATTCACTGGGTCTTTTCCTCCTGGCACCCAGTGGAGCCTTCGGCGGCCCGTCTACGGTCTCCGCCAGGCACCGCGTGAGTGGCACGACACACTGAGGACTACACTTGCGGATCTTGGGTTTGCTCCCTCTACTGCCGACCATTCGCTGTTTCTGCGCACCGACACTTCTTTGCCGCCGTTCTACATCCTCGTGTACGTCGACGACTTGGTCTTTGCCACAGCGGACACTGCTGGACTAGCCCACGTGAAGTCTGAGCTGCAGAAGAGACGCACTTGCATAGACCTGGGTGAACTGCGCAGCTACCTTGGCTTGCAGATCACCCGGGACAGAGCACGCCACACCATTACCTTGACTCAGTCACACATGGTGCAGCAGGTCCTTCAGCGCTTCGGCTTCACGTACTTCTCGCCTCAGGCCACTCCTCTGCCTACTCGCCACTCGCTCTCAGCTCTGCCTTTGGATGAGTCCGTAGAGTCGAGTGACCCGTACCCAGAGCTTGTTGGCTGCCTCATGTACCTGATGACCTGCACACGACCTGACCTTGCATACCCTCTTAGCATTCTCGCACGCTATGTTGCTCCTGGGAGACACAGACCAGAGCACATGGCTGCAGCGAAGAGGGTGTTGCGCTACTTGTGCAGTACGTCAGGCATGGGGCTTGTGCTTGGAGGGCAGAGTCCAGTGGTCCTCACTGGGCACGCGGACGCTTCTTGGGCTGACGACCAGGCTACGCAGTGATCGTCACAGGGTTACACCTTCAGCCTTGGTTCCGGCTCTGTTTCGTGGCGAGCTACCCGCTCATCTTCTGTTCTCGGCTCTAGTTGTGAGGCTGAGATCTACGCAGGGGCCATGGCTGCACAGGAGTTTCGCTGGCTCACCTACCTGCTGTCTGACCTCGGAGAGTCGCCTCGTTCTCCTCCAATGCTGTACGTAGACAACAAGGCCATGCTGGCCTTGTGTCGGGAGCAGAGACTGGAGCACAGAACGAAGCACATTGCTCTTCGCTACTTCCTTGCTCGTGAGCTACAGCAGCGTGGTTAGGTCCGCCTTGCGTACGTGGCCTCTGAGGCCAACACTACTGATATCTTCACCAAGGCACTTGCGCCTTGTGATCATCAGCGCTTCTGTACTCAGTTGGGTCTTGTGCCTGCCTTGCCTCACTTGCTCACCCCTTGACCTTGTTTGTACTGTTACATATATATATACACCTGCTCTTGCTTGTCTAGCCATATATATATGTGTAATCCTGCATGTGAACTGGCCTTGTGGCCTTGAATTTGTGCTCGGAATGTGTGGAGACTTTGTGATCCACCCTGAGCTTGCTTTGCTTTGCTTGACTGGTCTTGTGACCCCTTGTTCTCCCCCACTTTGCCTATGGGGGTGTGTCAGATTTATATGACATAGCTGATGTAGGCTATAGTGGGGTAGCACATATGGGGTACAGTTTTTTAGGGTTTGTACTTGTACCCAACTTTCCCTTAGTCATTTCATTCCTCATAATTTTCACAGATAAAAGCTGTAACAAACAATCTATCTTCTAGAATGAACTACTTGAATGTTTTTCTTCTTTCAGTAAATGCAGATCCCAGACAATATCAGCTTGTGGCTCATCGTTTTTAAGAACATTCTGTTGGTCCTAGAGGGCGAAGATCCTTCAAGTTACAACCTTCCCCCCCTCTCCCCCCCCCCGACCCGACACCACCAAGGGCGCCCTAATGGCTTGATATCTCATTGACAGGCTGGTTGGTGTACAAGCCTCGCTTGCCATCCCCATACCTCAGTTCTTTCGCTCCCCTCCCTCCTCCCCTCTCTCCCTTGCCATTACCCGTGGCACCCCTGCACCTACCTGCCAGCCTAGCTGTCCAAGTAGCATGCCTAGTCCTTGATAAAATTGCACGGCTTGTTTGCTCTACCTACCATCTCATTCAGTGAACAAGACCCTTCTAGAGCAAGCTGCGGATAACGCAGCAAAGCACTTGGAAGAAAGAGCATTAACGTGAGCGCGAGTAGAAGCGGTGGCCTTACATGTGAGATTTGGCGCCAAGATTAAGTCATTGTAGAAGATGCGACTTATCGCTTCTGTCCAGCGCATCTCGATGGAAGAAGCACCAAAGGGTCAGGGAAATGCTATCAAAAGATATGAAACCAAAGCCAGGCCCATGCAAGCGCATGTGCGGCTTATCACTATCGCGCTCTTGCACGTTTTCTGTATTTCGCCACCCCCTTCTTACGCCAGGGCACCAGTGGATAAGTCGTGCGAGAGCTTGAAAGTCCACCCCATCCATCCGCTCCAGCATGAGCCGAAAATGTTTGCGCATGGATGCTTCATGCGCCTCGTTGCCGTTCGAATTTTCAACCCGAAGTTGGTCCTCAAAAATCTCAGAAAGCTTTTTTCCGGCAGTGCAGCTGCCACAGGGACTCCTTTGCCATACGATTTTTTTTTTTTTTTTTAAACGCACGCCATCTGCGCTAGTAATACATGAGGCGCTCTTGGCTCAGCGTGGCGCAGAATTGCGTAAACAAGGTCGCCGGGAAGCGTGTCCATGTTGGATCACGTAAGAGATGGGATTGAAGGGTGGCGCATGCAGAGCAACCAACACGCAAATGTGAAATCTACGATCAATGCGAGTCGGAATGATGAGCGCATATGTCCCGAAGGTGTGACCTATCGTGTGACGAACTCCTGGATGCCAGCAACGATCTAATGGGCGTAAGGTCAGCAGGAAAGTGGCAAAGAAGTGTGCATTGGTTTGGTATCTCTTTTTTCCGTGCCTAGCCGTACTGATGTGGTTCGAATGCCATCAAGGTGACAACGGGATTACCATCCCATGAGAGGGCTGGCAGCTTGTAGGGGTACAGGAAGCTGTGAGGCGGGAAACCTAACCTCCAGACTACTTCCATTGCTAGTGTGTGGATTCGATCGAAATGACAATGGCTTTGCCACATCGTGAGTGGGCTGACAGTTTCAAGGGCTGCAGAAAGCTTCGAGGCGGAAAAGCCAATCTCGGTGTGGCTTTCATCGTTGGCCTTTGGAATGACGATCCTAGCTAGCGCGACCATTTCAGGAACGTGTGACTTGGGGGAGGGAGTGGAGGAAAAAACCTTGGGAATTGAAGATTGGAGACTGGAGTTGTGGGTTGGAGTTCTTCTGACATTGTTCAGACAACGCGGTTCGGTTGGATCTCTCTAATTCTTAGGCGTGGCATGTTTCCCTGCTGGGAACCGGAGGCGTGGAGTAGGTTCAAATACGGTTTAGAACGCTTTTTGTGCACTAGAGGGCGGTTCTATGGCTTCATCGCTTGGGCATCGTCCAGACCTTGGCTTTCGCCAATTTAGTTTCGCGAAAGCTTGATTGTCGCAGCGCAAGTATGACCCGAGCTACCTGTGTGTTTTCGTACAATCCCTCCTACGTCTGTGATGTACGCCGAAGTACGTAGTCCGGCGATCCAGTCTTGATTCAGTCTTGTTTATCTAATTAATTTTCGAATCGCCAAACGTGCTCACACAGCACATTGCACGAGGAGTAGTTTTTAGAAGCCTTGAAAGAAATAAGCGACCGATATCGCGCACCGTCGTGACGATGCTGGCGGCGTTCGTAGCGGAGGTCGTCGACTTCCATTCATCCGAGTTCTGAGGCGCTTCAAAAGTCTCAAGCCTCTGAAACAAGTGATCGCGTCCTACTTGAGTTGTAGTAATAAAATCGTCGAAGGTAACTAACGAGCGATCGCGTCGTCTCGTGCAGTAGATACAACGGGGGGATCAAGCTAGCAATCGCGCGTCGTCATCACAATGCTGGCGGCGTTCCTCGCGGCGCTCGTCTTCTTCCATTCCTCCGAGTTCCTCCTTGCGCTCTGGTCCACTGGCAAACCCGACCTCCGATGTACGCCCCATCACCTTCCCCTCGCCTCAACTTGCCTTCCCACCTTCCCGCCTTCCAGTCGCCTCGCCTCGCGTCGCGTCGCCTCGCCTTCCACTCGCCTCGCCTTGCCTTCCCCTCGCCTCCTTCCCCTCGCCTCGCCTCGCCTTGCCTTGCCTCCCCCGCTTCTCGTTCCCTTCTCTCCTCGCTCGCGTCGCCTTCTCCGCCTCCTCGCCAATCCGTCCCGCCTCTGCCAATCCGTCCCCTCTCCGCCAATCCGTCCCCCCTCCGCCATCCGTCCCCCCTCCGCCAATCCGTCCCCTCTCCTCCGCGTCTCTGGCAAGGGTGCTGATTGCGGGGCGCTGTGTTGACACTTCAATGCACCTCCACTCTCCCATCCCCCCAGCCTTACCATCCGCTTCCCCCAGCAGTCCACCATCTTTGTCTCACGGGAGGAACTTCCCTTCACAACGCTGCAAGCGAATGCCCCTCCCCTCCCACATCGATCCCGCCAGCATCATCCTTCCCGTCCCTTATCACTCCTTATCTCCCGGCCGCCCACCCTCATCTTGCTCCCTTCCGCTCCCCACTGCCCTGCCCCTTTCTGTGGCCCGTGGCGCTTTTTCAGGTGGTGTCTGAGAACTTATCAAAATCTGACTGCGCTTTTGTGCCACGTGCCACAGGTGGTGTTTGAGAATTCTCAAGAACCGAGTGCGCTGTTGTGGAGCCCCGCTGCCACTGGTCGTGGGGTTGGTGCTGCTGCTGGCGGTCTGTTCAAATTTTGTTTTCCCTCCCTCTCCACACACTCTTCCCCCACCCCACCTCCATCCCTCTCCACCAGTCCCCACCTCCCGCTAGCCATGCAGCGTTCCTCGTCTCGTGGGAGTATCTGCTGGCCATGGAAGTAGCGCTCACTGAATACGCCCTCGAGACCGCCCTCTTCCCCGCCTTCAAGCGCCGCCTGTGGCCCATGGCGTGGGTGGGGGGAGCGCTGCTGCTGGTGGGGGAAGCGGTGCACAAGGCAGCCATGGTGACGGCAAGGAGGAGCTTCACACATGCCATTCAGATGGAGAAGCGGCGCGAGCACCGGCTGGTCACATATGGACTGTACAGGTGGGAGTTTTGGTTGGGTGGTTGGCCACCGCCTGGTGACAGGTCGCTGCTGGATGGGTGCTTGTGATTGCTCCTGTGGTAGCCGCAAAGCCAGTGATGGGGCTCGTTGAAGAATTAGTGTGGGCTCAGGCTTGAATCGACTCAGAGGCAGCAATTTCAATCACTGGGAGGAGGCTTGTGCGTGCTGGGTGGGTCGTGAAGTGTCTGGTTGTATGAGCTCCTCTGCCTGCCTGCACCGCCAGGTGAGTGCGATGCAACCATCTCATCTCATGGCGTGCCAATGTTCCCCACATGCCATGCAAATGAGTGATGCATTCGCCATGCCACGACAATTCACACATGACATTCAGACGGAGAAGCGGCGCGAGCACTGGCTGGTCACACACGGGCTGTACAGGTGGGTGTTGATTGGGTGATTGGGTGCTCAGCTCGTGGGTGCTCCTGTGCCGTGCACAGAGGCACTGATGGTGACGGCGGAGAGTAGTTTCACTCATGACATTCAGACGGAGAAGAGGCGCGAACACCTTCCCCTCACCGACTGGTCAATCACGGGCTGTATAGGTGGGCGCTGGTTCGGTGATCGATGTGCTTCTGCGTCGACTCAAAAGTCAACTTCTGGCGACTATGTCTCGTGTCTGTTCAGGTGAGCACCGTCTTGTGCGATGGTGGCGGCGCGTCGGGAAGGAGTTTCACTCACGAGATTCAGACGGAGAGGTGGCGTGTGAACACCGGCTGGTGGCGCATGGGCTGTACGTACAGGTGGGCACTGGTTGGGTGGTTGAGTGGCATGTAATGCGTGTGTGTGCTAATGTGATCAGCCCAGCCCAGATGCACAAGTGGTTCACCCACTGTCTTGTGACGCATGAGCGTGTTGCTGTGCTCTCCCCCACCTGCACTGCCTACACTTGCGCCCACCCACCCAGTGCGCTCGCCATGGTTCCATGGCGCCATCAAGGTTAGATGGGGTGGTTCTTGCGGACCATGATGTTGATGCAGCGCAGGTATCCCAATGCGCTACCCATGCCCTCCCCCAAACCCACATGGCCACATGCCCACGGTCCCATGGCACGTGGGTGCGCCACCCGGGCCAGGGTACACAGGGTGGTTCATCTCGAGAATCGCCACACACCTGCTGCATGTGACCACGCCGCCTGTGCTGGATGTCATGTGACCATGTTTCCCCACATGCCCATGGGCCCACCGTGCTACGTGGGTGCGCCATCCGGGTTACATGGCGTGGTTCATCTGGACCATGGCCACGCAGCTGCTTTTGAGAATTCTCAAATCCGGCCATCCCGTGCGCTGCCCATGTTCCCCACATTCCCATTTTAGGTGGGTGCGCCATCCGGGCTACATGGGGTGGTTCATCTGGACCATGGCCACGCAGCTGCTGGATATGACCTCTCCACCTGTGCCCTCCCCACGTGTTCATGTGCCCATGTTCCCCACATGTCCACATGCCCATGGCAGGTGGGTGCGGCATCCGGGCTATACGGGGTGGTTCATGTGGAGCATAGCCACATGTCTACATGTCATCCCATGCGCTAACTATGCATTTCCGCATGCGCACATGCGCCATCCGGGCTACACAGGGGTGGTTCATGTGGAGCATGATGTGAGTGTGGTGTGGTGCAATCATCCCATGCCCTGCCCATGTCGGCCACGGTCCCATGGCAGGTGGGTGCGGCATCCGGGCTACACGGGGTGGTTCATGTGGAGCATAGCCATGCAGCTGCAGCTAGTCAACCCCCTCTGCACGCTCGCCTTCGCCCTCGTCTCCTGGCGCTTCTTCGCCGCGCGCATCCCGTGAGTTGCCCGCTTGTTTGTGTAGGCATTCTCTAAGTTACCCTGTGAGCGCAGAGGCATCCCGTGAGTTACCCTGCGGACCCAGTCAACCTGGCGCAGGAGCTGCAGTACCGTGAATCGGTCTCATATCCTGCTGCTTGCTTCCTTGCAAGTAGACGGAGATCTGATGGTGCAGTTGGAAGAGTTGCAATGCTGAAGGCTCTTCACATGTGACTGCACATGCCCCTAAAATTCCACATCTCCCAAGACTACCTCATTCACTTGTCACCCTTTTCCCTTTCCTCATCGCCCTCAACCTTCCACCACCATTTCCCAATCCCTGCACTACCTCGCCTCTCCCAACAGCTTCGCGCCCTCCACTGCCCCATTCACCGTTCCCATCCCATCCCTTGCAGCATTCCCATGCCCCATCACCCCCCCAGTTCCCTCCCCAGATACGCTGCCTCGGTATCGTTTGCCATCCCCTTTGTCTCATCTGCTCCCACATCTGCCCGTCTCCCACTCCTCTCCCTCTTCCCCCCAGCAGCTACGAGTTAGACTTACACCAGTTCCTTGGCCTTGAGTATGCACGATACGCTGCATCTGTGCCATCCAATTTTCCCTTCAACTCATCATGCTATTTCCTCTGCTCCCGTGCCCCTAACACCCCCTCTTTCCCCCCTACGCCCCCATCCCAGCTACGAGGAGTTCTATCTGCACCAGTTCTTTGGCCTCGAGTACGCACGATACGCCGCTGCTAACACAGAGGCTCTCGCCCTGGTGAAGTCAGAGCTGCAGAAGAGACACACGTGTACAGACCTGGGTGAGCTGCGCAACTACCTGGGCTTGCAGATCACCCGGGACAGAGCACGCCGCACCATCACACTGACTCAGTCACACATGGTGCAGCAGGTCCTTCAGTGCTTCGGCTTCACCTGGTCCTCGCCATAGCACACTCCTCTGGCTACAGGCCACTCGCTCTCAGCTCCACTTTCAGACAAGTCCGTAGAGCCGAGTGACCCGTACCCAGAGCTAGTGGGCTGCCTCATGTACCTGATGACCTGCACTCGACCTGACCTTGCGTACCCTTTTGGCCTTCTGGCTCGCTACGTGGCTCCTTGAAGGCACCGAAAGATGCACATGGATGCTGCTAAGAGGGTACTGCGCTACTTGTGCAGTACATCGGGCATGGGGCTCGTGCTTGGAGGGCGGAGCCCAGTTGTCCTCACCGGGCACTCGGACGCTTCTTGGGTTGACGACCTAGCTACGCAGCGGTCGTCACAGGGTTACACTTTCAGCCTTGGCTGTGGTTCAGTTTCCTGGCGGTCTACACGCTCGTCTTCAGTTCTCGGCTACAGTTGTGAGGCTGAGATCTACGCCACATCCATGGCTGCACAGGAGCTACGCTGGCTCACCTACCTGCTGACCGACTTGGGAGAGCGGCCTCGTTCTCCTCCAGTGCTGTACGTCGACAACAAGGCCGCCATTGCCTTGTGGCACGAGCACAGACTGGATCACAGAACGAAGCACGTCGCTCTGCGTTACTTCCTTGCTCGAGAGTTGCAGCAGCGTGATCAGCTTCGTCTTGCTTACGTGGCCACTCGGGCCAACACTGCTGATATATTCACCAAGGCACTTCTGTTTGGTGATCATCATCGTTTTTGTACTTTGTTAGGCCTTGTGCCCACGTATCCTCACTTGCTGTAGACTTTGCCTGTATTGTGATCTATATATATATATATATATATATGTATACCTGCATGCTTGCTCTGCTAGGTAGAGATCACTGTGTTTCATATATATCTCTGCATGTGAACTGGTCTTGTGGCCCTTTGCTTGTGCTCAGTGTATGTGGTGACGTTGTGATCCACCCTGAGCTTTCTTTGCTTCTCTTGACTGGTCTTGTGACCCCTTGTTCTCCCCCACTTTGCCTATGGGGGTGTGTCAAACCATATATGATTTATAATTAGGTTTAGGCTTTAGTGGGGTAGCCAATGTAGGGTACAACCCCTTAGGGTTCTCTTCCTTGTACCCAATTCTCTCGATAGTCAAACATCACCTTCTCTAACAATTCTAAGTCAGAGGAACAGACTCCCTATGATTAGAATGGGGCAGCTTCTTTGGCATGCATGACAAAATGCATTCGTTTCACATCAGATCAGAATGGGTGCAAGAGGGGTGTCGCTGTCTCTTCTGTAGAGGACCTCGACTCAGCATATTGGTGTTACTTTTGGGAATTCTCAAAAGGAGGACCTCGACTTGACTCAGCACTCGTGTCCTCAGCTGGGAGCAGGGAAGCCCACAAGCAAGGAACGGATAGATGGGTTGGGATGGGTTGGGATGGGAGGATAAGTCAGAATTGAGGGGGTCGGCAACGATGCAAGTGAACTTTCATGTACCTGGACGAAAAACCTCCCATCTCGTCTTGAAGGCCCTCCTATGTTCGGCCAACTCTGTTTTTCAGCATTGTCGTGTGGTGCCTTGCCTTCCACATGTACCACCACGACCAGCCCGCCCTCCCATGTGCTCTTGAGACTGCAAGATCCTTACTACCACGGACACACACTTGCCCGATGCTTACCTCCAGTGGTACACGCATTGGCGAGCAAATCAGCAGAGGTCTGAATTCCACCCATCACAGTGTCTCTTGCTTTCTCTTTCCTCTCCCCACTCCCTCTTCTGCCAACCTTCTCTCTCCCTCCCTGCTTCTCCTGCCTCTCCCTGCCAGTTTATAGCTCTCCCCATCACTGCTGCCTGCTTGTCAACCTTTCCCCTGCACTCTCCCAACCTTCTGACCCTGTCTCTACCCTCCCCCCCCCCTCTCTGCCACTTTCCCCCCCTCTCTCTGCCACCTTCCCCCTCTCCCCCTGCCACCTTCCCCCTCTCCCTCTGCCACCTTCTCCCCTTCTACTCTCCCAACTTTCTCCACCTCCTCTTCCAAACTTCATAACCCCTTCCTGCCAACCTCCCCCACTCCCCCAGCCACCCCCCCCCCCTCCCCACCCATTCTGCCAACATCCCCCCTTCTCTCTAATTGCATGCCCTCCCCCATCCCTGCCAAGCTTCCCTCCACCACGTCTGCCTACCTCCCCCCAAATCACACCCTACAAACCTACCCTCTTCCCCACTCCATCGGGGATGTAGGTAGGTTACCTGAACAGGCGGCAGCATGCCGGACAGTTGGTGCAGCGGTGTGATGCGCACGAGAGGACGCCGCACGAGGACTCACAATGGCTGTAGCCCGAACAGCTGTAGCAGCCGTGGCACGAATGGCTGTAGTGGCAGCAGGAGGAGCAGGAAGAGGATCGGCATGAGGAGCAGTAAGAGGGTCGGCATGAGGAGCAGTAAGAGGGTCGGCATCAGGAGCAGTAAGAGGGTCGGCATGAGAAGTAAGAGGATTGGCACAAGGAGCAGCAAGAGGGTCGGCATGGGGAGCAGTAGGATGGTCGGCAGGATGAGCAGCAGCGGGCGCATGACCGCTTGCAGCTGATGGCGCCCCCGTGGCTGGCGTTGCAATTGCAGACTGACCCCCAGGAAAAGAAGAATGGGAAGGGAAGAGAAAACGGAAATGAAATAGTTGGATGAGTTCTGATCTAGTCAGCAATCCTGACCTGCTTGACTTGCATTCCTTACAAGGGCAAATGTGAGCTCACAGCACCACGTACTTACGACTGAACGAATCTGGGTAAATGAATCTGAGTACAGGGTATACCTTCGTAAGTACGTAGTATAGAGTATACCTACAGCACCACTTACTTACGTCTGAACACATCTGGGTATGAAATTTGGCAACCAAATAGCTCTTTGAAAGCAGCACTAGCAGAAATCCGGAGGTTGGACTGACATGGTTGGCATGGTAACTAATGCCTTCCTCAACGTGATTCCCATCCTCCATGCTTTGCAGTGTCCCCTCCTCCCTTCGTCGACGGCCCTTTCCTCCTCTGCCATCACTGGTCCTGTTGTAACTGCTCTCGCTCTTCTGATGTAATACTTGTCTTTAGTTAAGTAGAAATGCCCTTGCAAGAGGAATAAAGGAGAGGAACAGTAGACAAAGTTCAAACTCGATACAAGGTTCATCCCTCGCGTCGTGTAAAATATCCCTCTCTAATGTTCCACCTTCAGAGGTTAATGCTACCAACAGAGAGAGATACCATGTCACTGGGGTTGTTGGCAGGTCGCACCTGGGTGCAAGAATATTGAATGGTGGTTCGGAACTGCTTGGTGCTTTTGGCGATCAACTCACTGCTCATATTGAAGCTCCTAAGCCTTCCTTCACTGGTGTCCCAGACCTGCCAAACGATTTAGGCAGAGCGTGTCCAATTGTTCGAAGAGGGAAAACAAGAAAACATAGATGGGGTAAATACAGGATCTTCTCTTAACAACAGTCTGCTGTCATTTGTCTATTGAACTGAACAAATAAATAACGAACTAGACATACCTTGGAGGAGCAGAAAGGGCAAGACTCGTCTTGCGCGAAGGAGCGACCAGTATGTGAACAATAATACATGTTGGCAAGAAGAAAATATATTGAAAATATGAGAGAAGTAACAATTCTTCTTAAAAAATGAGCCTCAGGATTGTGGTTTTCTTTCACTAATAGCTACCTATAAAATCCCATACGTCAATCAACCAGAACCTTATCGTTTTACGACCCTTCAAGTCACAAGCCCAACCGGACCCAACACCACAAAGGGCGCCCTTTCTGGTTGACAGGCTGGCTGGTTGTTGTAAAAGCCACGCTTGCCAGCCATCCCCATACCTCAGTTCTCTCGCGCCCTTCCCTCCTCCCCTCTCTCCCTTGCCAATACCCGAGGCACCCCTGCACCTACATGCCAGCCTAGCCGTCTAAGTAGCGTTGCCCAGTCCTTGATAGAATTGCACAACTTACAATGTTTTCCCTACCATTTCATTCAATGAAGAGGACCGTTCTAGAGAAAGCTAAGGAGAAGGCAGCTGCACACTTGAAAGACAGCGCATAAACATGAAGCACGGGTAGAAGCGATGGCCTTACAAATGAGAGACACGATCGGTGCCAACATAAAGTCCTTGTATAAGTTCCAAATGATCGGTTGGGTCCAGTGCATCTTGATGGCAGAAGCACCAAATAATCAAGGACATGCTATCAAAAGAGATGCAACCGAAGGCACGCCCATGCAAGCGCATGTGCGGCTTGTCGCTGTCGCGCTCCTGCTCACCAACTCGCCACCCCCTTGTCACGCCTGGGCACCAGTGGATAAGTCGTGCAAGGGCTTGAAAGTCGACCTCTTCCATCCGCTCTAGCATGCGATGAAAATGTTTGCGGATGGATTTGAAAGTCTGCTTCATACGTCAAATCGCCATTCAAAATCGCGTCCCGGATTTGGACTGCGAAGAGCTCAAAGAGCTTCTCACGGCAGTGCAGCTGCCATAGGGAGTCCTTTGCCATGCGATTAAGTGTCTTCGAAAGGCACGCCATCTGCGCTAGTGATACGTGAGGCACTGTTGGCTCGGAGCGGTGCAGAATGGCATAAACGAGGTCGCCGGGAAGCGTGCTCATGGCGGATGAACCTAGGGACCATGTAAGAGACGGGATTGAAGGGTGGCGAATGTAGAGCAACCAACACGCAAATTTTAGATCTACAATTTAAGAGAGTCGGAATGATGAGACGGGTACGTCGCGATGGTGCGATATATGTTGTGACTTCTGGGTGCTCGCAACGATCTAACGGGCGTACTAATCCACGAGCAAGAAAGTGGCAAAGAAGCATGCATAGGTTCGGTAGATCCACGAGCCATGGTGGGACGTTCGGCACCAGCCAGATATATTTTTCCGTGCCTAGCCGTACTGATGTGGTTCGATTCTTATCAAGGAGACAACGGGTTTGCCATACCGTGAGAGGGCTGGCAGCTTGTGGGGGCACAGGAAGCTGCGAGGCGGGAAACCTAACCTCGAGACTACCTCCATCGCTAATCACTGGATTTGATCGAAATGACAGTGGCTTTGCCCTGACGTGAGTGGGCTGAGAGTTTCTAGGGCTACGAAAAAGCTTCGAGGCAGGGAAGCCAATCTCGGTGTGCTTTCCGTCGTTGGCCTGTGGAATGACGCCCGTAGCTGGCGCGACTGGTTTCAGGAAACCTGATTACAGGTGAGTGTGAGTTGAGTGGAGGGAAGGAGAGAAACCTCGGAAATTGAAGATCGGAGTCGGGAACCACTGCATTCTTCTGATGTTGTTCGGACAATGCGGTTCAGTAGGATCTCTCACGCTATATTACGGTTCCACATGGCTTGAGGCGTGGATTGGTGAACCAATGTGGTGCTGGGAACTGGAAGATTGAGTGGAATGGTGGAATAAAAACGATTTACTACGGTGGTGTGTGCTATAGGGAGGTTCATTGGCTTCATTACTTGGTGGTGCGCGTGGAACTTCTGAACGGTTTTTGTCAAATTTGTTTCGCGAAATTCGTTGGTCGCAAGTACGACCCACCTTGTTTTTTTTTTTTTTTTTTTTTTTTTTTTTTTTTTTTTTTGGACTCAAGTAAACTATAAGGCATAACATACAGGAAATGTCCTCAGTCGTAATTGATGTGGAGGGAGGTATATTATCTAGCCATGTAGACGCAACCCCCCTGTTATCTTCTATGGCGGTTGAAAAGTAATGAGCGGATCTTCCCAGATTGCCCTGAAGTCCTCTCTCCACGTCATTGATGACTCCTTGCTATAGAGCTTGTTCAGCACTGCTGCCTCATCTTTTGCCAGGTGTTCCCAATCATTTGTGCCCCCCTGGCACTTCCCCTCGCCTGTCTCTTTTTTGCCTTGCTGTAGACCCTTACGTGTCTTGTGAACTAGACGTTTATCCGCCTCAGAACTCGCTTGGCCTGGAATCTCACCCCTCTCCATATCGCGTTACACCTTGCCAGCCACACTTGATGTGATGCTGTGGCTATTAGTGAAGCTTCCGGAAAGCCTGATCCTGTGCATGTTCCTTGAAACAGTAGATCGCCCACTGTCCCTCCTTGTCGCGTCGGATTTATCAACTGAAGCGCCCTCTGCACCACCTCCGTTACTGGTTTCACTCTCGGGCAGTCCAAAATGCAGTGGTCTAGTGTTTCCAACCCTCCACATTGAATACAATTGGCGCGTGCCCCCAGGAACGGAAGTCTCTCGCCCATCTGCAAGTTTTTGCTGTGTGCCCGCAATACCACTTCCCTTGCCCTGGCTGGTGTCACCAGAGAGTCCCTCGTCCTGATCGCTTTCTCCCAGTCTATTGGCCTCCCCCAATCTTCCTCCCACTGCTGTTGCTGCTTAGGTTTTTGAAGCTGGGGTTTCAGCACCTTCCTCAGGACCCGCAGCTCGGCTGGCTCTCCTTGGTCGCATAATTTCGACTGCAGCAGTCTCGTCCTCGGCGCGCCCAGAGGCCCGCATACCTTCCCCCCGAGTTCCACTATCGGCATCGTCCCTTCCCAGCGGATCTCTGTCGCACTGGCGAATCTTACTTCCTTGATGCAGCCATCCTTCTCCACCGTCACGCGCTTCCCAAACAGTCGGTTCCCCGACGTGTAGAGTAGCATGTAGAAGAAAAACTCTCCCGGTCTGTATGAGTTCATCCTGACCAGCTTCGCCGCGCCGAACACTTCATCCGCAGTGAGTGTTTTTAGCACTAATTCTTTCCAGGCCATCGGATTCGCTTCCAGCGCTTTCATCGCCCATTTCCTCTGCTCCTCTCCCCCTAGTTCACGTTCCAAAGTCGCCTCGTCTTTCACCGTTCTGCTGCCATCCGCTCCTTTCTTGATTAGATCCCCTAGCGTGACCCCCTTTAAACAATTGGAGCCATGTTGATTCCCGAACGGAGACTTTCCTCTGAAGAAGATTGCTTTGTTGAAAAGCAAAAATTCCCTTTCTGCCTCCCACCGGTTTGCTGTCTCTCTTATCACCTCCGCTTTTGTCTCCCAGAGGGCCTCGATCGTTGCCTTCCATCTCACTCCACCCTTCATCCAGTGTTGCATGATCGCCGGGTGGGCGTACACCGTCGCGAGTCCTTGTGGGAAGCCGGCCGCCTTCTCCCAGAGCCAGTTACGGAACGGATCCCTCGTTGCTGCACCTCTCGCGATGTTGTGAATCGCAATACTGCCCAATCTTTCTTTCGGACTGATCACCCTTAGTCCCCCCTCCTTCCTGTCTTTGAAGGATAGCTCGAAACTCCATAAAATGAAGAATATATCGAAAGACGCCTTCCCTTTTGAGATGAAGTTATGGCAGATTCTCTTCACCTTCAGCCAGATCTCGTGCAGTGGCGCGTACACCAGTGCTTGGAACAGTATAATTGGCATCGCGTAACTATTCACGATTGTCACCCTGGCAGAGGTCGTCAGATGCTTCGAGTCCCACTTGCTCAGCTCGCTGCACATCCGCTCAAAGGCCTTATACCAGGACGGCTCCGGCGACCCTCCCGATGTGACCCAAATGCCAAGGAGGCGTTCCGGCTCGTTCTGCGCTGCCCATTGAAACGGTGAGTTTGTGGGCTGCTGTCTTCTCCTGTTTTTCCCCAGTGGCATTAGCTTCGTTTTTTCCTGGTTGATGTACAACCCTGAGCATAGTCCAAACTCATCCAGCAGCCGCTTGGCTGCCACCACTTGTTCTTGACCATGCAGGGCTAAAGTGGTGTCGTCAGCGTAGCCTACATACGTCAGTCCACCAACTCCCCTTTTCCGGATCCCCAGACCCCTTCTTTCCGCTTCCTGACAAAGAGGTTCCGCCGCGCAGAGGAAGAGATAGGGAGCAAGCGGGCATCCCTGCCGTACCCCTTTCTCCATCCCAATTCTGTCTCCTAACCAGCCATTAACCATCAGCTTTGTTCCCGCTCCCTCATGAAGTCCCTTTGTCCAGGCAATGAACTTGCCCGGGAAACCCATCTTCTCCATCGTGGTGAAGAGGAAGTCTCTCGAGACCGAGTCATACGTTTTTTGGAAATCGACCAGGAGCAGCAGCCAATCCTCATCACCTTCCGGTGCCGTGTCGATCACATCCGCAACCGTTGATACCGCATCCGCCAAACGTCTCCCAGGTATGAAGCCGTACTGTCTCTCCGAGATAACCTGTGGTAGAACTTTTTTGATCCTATTAGCCAGCACCTTCGCCACTAGCTTGTATAGCACATTGAGTAACGTTATCGAGCGGTAGTTTCCTAACTGCTCCCTTGCTCCCTTCTTATGCAGAAGGATCGTCACCGCCGTCATGAAAGGCTCCGGGAGCAGCGCGTCCTTCTCAAAGACCTCAACCACTTTCATCACCTCCTTTCCCAGGAGGCCCCAGTTTTGCTCGAACAGCTCCTTCGGCAACCCATCCTGTCCTGGTGCTTTCCCCGTTGGCAGCTCTCGGAGTGATGTTCTTACTTCATCCTCCGACCATGGTCTGGTGAGTGCCTCTTTATCCTTGTCCAGCAGGCGCTTGCTTTCTGCCACCTCCCATCCTTCCTCTGTAACCTCCTGCAGAGGGCCCGCAAAAGTGTCCCGAAAAAACGTTGTTGCGGCCTCCAGCACCTCTCTTGCCCTCGTGATGTTCTGCCCGCTGACTGACAACTTACGGATTTCTGTCTTTGCCTTCTTTGACTTAATCAGGCCGGATAGGTAACCAGTCGGCGCTTCACTCGCTAGCTCCACCATCATACCCGTCAACACCTGCAGCCGGACCTTGTTTCTCTCCTGCTATTCTTTCCATGCCGCTTCCGACTTCACCAACTCTTCATACAGCCTTTGTGCAGTCGAGTTCGCCATCACCAGACTCCTTATTCTCACCACCTTCTTTTCCAAATGCAGCATCGTAGCCTTCACCCTTTTCCGTTCCTCAGTCGTGTGCGTTCTTAGACTCGCCTTCAGGTTCGTCAGTAGACTCTCAAGGGGTTGATCTGCTTTCCTCTGGTGATCAGCCACCACTGCTTCGATTATTTTTTCCGTCCCTTCTCCTCTTGTTTGGGTTGCCTGCAGCCTCCAAAGCCCCCCCCCCCCCCCCCGGAACCGCAGCCTGCACTGTGGCGTGGACTGCGAACCAGTGATCTGTGATGCCGACCGGGACGAAGGTGTGCTTTGCCTCCAGCACTTGTCCAACCAGCGACCTCGACATCAGGATCTGGTCAATGCGCGTACTAGTCTTCGACGAGCGAGAGAAAAAAGTGAATTCCTTCCTTGTTGGGTGAAGCGTTCGAAATGAGTCTTGCAGGTCCCAGCCACTGCAGATCTGAAGGAAGCGCTGGTTTTCTGCCGGTGATCCCAACCTGGAGGACTTGTCCAGGTCCGGATCTGCAACTATGTTCAAGTCTCCCAAGAAAACCGTGTGAGTTGTCAACAGCAAACCATGCACAAAAGGCGACAGAGCATCCCGGAAGAACTCCCCCCTGTTCATAGTTTGAGCCGGGAAATACGCCGCCACCACTCTGTACTCCTGCTGCTGCCAAGTAAAGGTAACACTCAGAATCCTCCCCGAGCCATGGGACACAACCTCCTTGAAAGGAATCCATGGTGCAAATCCTAGTATTGCCACGCCGCTTGCTCTCTGGTCTGGCAAAACCGCTGCAACTGCATCTGGCCTTAGCTGACTCCATAAATTGTGGTCAGCCGGTATCCTCGTGTCCGTTAGTACAACTATGTTAGCTGCCTTCCGTATCCAATACCCACATCTTTCGCGCTTGCCGTTGCTACCGAGCCCATTGATGTTGAGCTCGAGAAAGGTGACTTTGTGGTGTTTAACCATTGACTAACTTGCTTAAGCCCCTCAGTATCCACGGGCGTAAAGACTTCATTGATGAGACGCTAACAGCCACAGCATACGACAATAGCACTGCCAGTACTCCACCTACAACTGCTACACCTCCGATCATGACTCCAGGTACTGCGATCTCCAGTAAGTCGTTGTCCATTCCACTGCTACTCATTTTTCCGGCTTCTTCCCGAAATCTTTCTTGAAATCGCTCAGCCTCTAGGAGCCTTTTGCCGCACGTGTTGCAGCGCCTGACTTGCGCAACCCCCCCCCTGTGACGTCCAGAGGCGATGTGAGCCGAGGCCTGCTCGAAGCGGGTACCCTGAGCTTTCTCGCAAGCTGCCTGAACGCAGATCCACTCCTCTCGCAACCCTCCAGTCGAGACCAGGACCAGGGCCGGATCCTTCATAATATCTGAAACTTTCAGGGAGGCCGCTGCGGGGAAGGTCAGAAGCGGAAAAGTCAGTATAGTCGTCAGCAACAATAAACACGGGATACAAGATCGAGGTAAAGACATTGCTCCCTGTACCATTGAATTTGTGAGCCTTAGCTACCGTAAGGTTCCAACGGCTCATGTTGTCGTGGCGCGGAGTGACATAGTCATCATGATAGCGGGTCAGATGCTGGCCACCACAGTAGTCACAAGTAACACTCAGGAAATGGATGAGGAACTTCCTTCCTGGTAAAGACTGGAACTCAGCGGCGTGGAGCCAGCGGTACTTATCAGCGACATGTGGAACCACCAAGCCTTTGATGCGGTCAGTATCCATTCCAGAGACAGGGTCAGTCGTACGGTGAAAACCGAAGCCACTCGCAAAGGCAATCTTCCCTCTCTTGACCATTACTGCCTCCACCAGCGTACGACGAACCATCTCATGCGAGATTTCCGCCGGGACCGACTTCAACACCACTTCAACAGCCGATGGATTGATAGAGCGCTCCCTGAGGAAGCGTGCATTCTCCGGAAACTGCCAGGTAAGCTTCACAAACTTGTCGTCAACACATTCATTATCAATGACTTGTTCACGCACGAACTCCCCATCATGCGCGCTGTTAAATGTGACTTGAAGCCTCCCGAACCTCTGCCGGGAGAGAAAGGTCGGCTGAAACTTCAGGTAGGTGGTGGTCTGCAGCACATCTGGTGAGAGATGCTCCTTGCAGTCATCAAGCAGGGCAACAATCGTAGCCTTAGCACGCGGGACTTCCGCGATCCTGTTAACAGGCACCAACAGGGTTAGAGAGACCTTTGTCTGTGATGCAATGTCAGCTGCAACAACTGGATCAAACATCTCATCCGAGTCGTCGCTAAGGTATCCATCTCCTTCCTCTTCCAGGTCCAGTTCTTCAGCTGCCGTTTCATTATCAGAGTCCTCTTCTTCCGCGTTACAGATCGGCTTGTGCGTGTATTTCTCATTCTCAGCAGTTGAACAGTGTAGGATACATCAAGTTCAAGTTTAGGGCGTGTCTTTTAGGGTGTATATTGGGCTTACACACTTTTCTTTAGGTAATTGTGATTTTTTACTAATCTGCAACCCACACGTACAGAAAATGGTTTGTGTCTGCCTGACGAGAACCCACTTTTTTGCATTCGGACATACAATCCCGCCCGAACAAAAATAGTGTGGCATATCAGAAGTCGCGAGCGGTAACTCTGTCGCACTGCAAAATCCGTTACGTAGATCGGTGGGATTTGTGCATGCCTGTGCCACGGGAAAAATCGCCCTCATGCTTTCGTTTTTTTCGCTAGACCTGTACTGGCGATATTCGCATTCCTGAAAACACCTTGGCAAATCCCGAAATGTGTGTGTACATGTTCTGTACTCGAGTGCATGGCACGTCCTGCACACGAACTAGGACTCGTAAAAAAATCGCTGCCAGAAACGAACCCAGAAGTGACTGTCTGCTTGTGTTATGAATCAACTTGCAGAGTGCGCAGTAAAACGAATAAGGAGAATGGAAATTACTGAATTACTGAATGAAGAAACAATGAAGTAGCGAGGCCTAAATAGGGGAAAACCTAGCTAGGCGGGGGGTTCGGGATGGGATGGCTCGGTGATGGTTGCGATTGGAGCGGAGGCCTGTCAGAACATATAGCTTACTTGTTTCTGTAGGCTATAGTGGGGTATCCCATAGGGGGTACAACCCAATTAGGGTTTCCTATTTGTACTCACTTCGTTCATAGTTCATTCATTTCCTCGTTCATATCTTCTCATGGAATCAGAGCAGGTCCCTTCCTAGGGACTGTTCCTAGGGCCCACCGAAGCGCGCCCCGAGGCGCGCGTTTTTTTTTTTTTAGCGACCCTCCGTGTCGCCCTTACCGCCGTGCTCCCGCTTAGGCCCCTCGTCGACCCCGCTTAGGCCCCTCGTCGGCCTCGCTTAGGCCCCTCGTCGGCCCCGCTTAGGCCCTTAGTCGGCCCCACTTAGGCCTCGTCGGCCCCGCGTAGGCCCCGTCGGCCCAGCTTAGGCCCCGCTACGGCCCCGCGTCGGCCCCACTTAGGCCCCGTCGGCCCCGCTTAGGCCCCGCTACGGCCCCTCGTCGGCCCCACTTAGGCCCTGTCGGCCCCGCTTAGGCCTCGTCGGCCCCGCTTAGGCCCCGCTACGGCCCCGCGTCGGCCCCGCTTAGGCCCCGTCGGCCCGCCTAGGCCCCGCTACGGCCCCTCGTCGGCCCCGCCTAGGCCCCGTCGGCCCGCCGTAGGCCCCGCTCCAGCCCGCCGTCGGCCCCGCTATAGCCCGCCGTCGGCCCCGCTACAGCCCGCCGTCGGCCCCGCTACAGCCCGCCGTCGGCCCCGCTACAGCCCGCCGCCGGCCCCGCTACAGCCCGCTGTCGGCCCCGCTCCAGCCCGCCGCCGGCCCCGCTACAGCCCGCCGTCGGCCCCGCTACAGCCCGCCGCCGGCCCCGCTACAGCCCGCTGTCGGCCCGCCGTTGGCCCCACTACAGCCCGTCGTCGGCCCCAATACAGCCCCGCTACAGCCCCGCTACAGCCCGCCGCCGGCCCCGCTACAGCCCCGCCACGGCCCGCCGTCGGCCCCGCCGCCCGTGCTGCAGCCCGCCGCGCCACCGTGAGCCGCCCGTGCAGCCGCCCGTGAGCCGCCCGTGCAGCCGCCCGCGCCACCCGTGAGCCCCTGCGTTACCCGAGCCGCGCGAGCCGCCCGAGCCACCCGAGCCGCCCGAGCCGCCCGAGCCGCCCGAGCCGCCAGAGGAGCCGCACTCCTGCTCCTGTAGGGCCACTGCTGCTCCTGGGCTGTGTTACTGTGCCGCTGACCTACTCGACTTTTCCTGCCCGGTGAGACTGTCAGCTACTGTCATGGCCACCCCCACTGTCCTAGCTTTTGATGCTGAGGGTAGAGCCATTGACTTTGCAGTCTGGATTGAAGACTTGCAGCTGTACTTACTGTGTGATGCGATAGATGAGGTCTCTCTCTTTGACTTTGTCTCTGGCGCTGTCCCTGCCCCTCCTGCTGATGCTGACCCCGCCGTTCGCTCCAAGTGGGCGACCCGCGATGCTGCTGCACGACTTGCTGTGCGTCGCCACCTCCCTTCCTTCGAGCGTGCCCACTTTAGTCAGTGCAAGACCGCTCAGGCCTTGTACGACGCTGTAGTTGCACGCTACTCCTCCCCTTCCTCCGCTACGCTTAGCCGCCTCATGCTACCGTTTCTCTTCCCTGAACTCGCTACCTTTCCCACTGTCGCTGACCTCGTTACCCACCTCCGCGCTAGTGACGCTCGCTACCGCGCTGCCCTTCCTGCTGAGTTCCGCGCCGCAAACCCTCCTCCCATGTACATCACTCTCTACTTTCTCGTCACTCGTCTCCCTGAGTCCCTTCGTGTCGTTAGGGACCAGTTTCTCTCTGTCTGTCCCACCACCCTCACTGTCGACCTCCTTGAGGAGTCCCTGCTAGCGGCTGAGAA